AATGATACAGACAGTGAAATAATTCGTAATGAAGAAATTTTAACACCCACACCTTCTCATTCAATTTTTTTGCAGAATTCAATTCACCATTTTGTGTAAAGAAAAGCAAAAATGAAACCCCTGAAGACTATGGGATTGGTTAGTTGAGCTAGACAGGAGAAATGCATAGGTGTAATAGTGGCATCACACAGACGTCAAATCTGACCTCACTCAGGTAGTACACGAAACGTAGCGAGAGTGTATTTGCCTAAGTCTGATAATGTGAGACTGATTATTTCCGAAAGAAGAAAAAGTGAAGTAGCCTCGTGAGGTCAAATCAGTGAATGATGGAAAAGTTGGCGCCTTGAAAATTGAACGAGGGCCAACAAAGCCCGCACGCAATCTGAAAGCAGTAACCTTGCCCCTTCAGCTTTGCAAGTGCCTTTGACTAACTTCAAAATGTTCAGGCGTGGATAAGAGGTCATCAACAGACGCCATCTACTTCAATCTCACCTCCTGATAATCTCTGATACATTCAAAAGCGATGAAAGCGATTGAGGTAAAGTCCACATCGCCCAACAGTAGGTCACGGACAAGAGAGTCGGCAACACCTCGAACGGCCCTCTCATCAATCGACTGATCCTAAAGTGACCAAATAAAACGGTTCAAAAATGCGACGACTAAATTCATGGTGCTGAAGACCTCATAAGTGCGGAAACGTGACCCCATAGATGTGCATTTTCCCTTGGAAAGCAACGCCAAATTGATTGGTGAGAATATTTGAGGATAGCACATAGTGCTTGAGATTTGATCCATTCTTTCTTGAGATCACAGGGAAGTAGATGTAGAGAGTAATAAATGTGAATGAGATGCCTAATCCGTGCAAGTAGGGTTTACAAAGGGCATAAAGTATCTACACCAGAGGCGGAATAAACTCATTTCCCCAAGTAAGCAATTAAATTTTTTTATTCAGATAATACATTAAAAAAATAGGGACGAAAGTCAAGCTTACTTCCTCGGTGAGAATGAAAGAGGTCATGTCGAGAGAAGCGGGTATTTTGGCATCTTCTGTATTAAATTCAACATCCTCATAACTCGCCATATTTAGTAGCTCTTCGGTGTTGGACAATTTCTCCTCCATGTCATCCATGTCATTCAAAGACTGAGCCATAACCTCTGCTGCCTCCGCTGAAACCATGTCCACATCGAGGTCGGGCTAGGCGAGGAAATAGAGGGGTGGGGGGGAGGGAAGGAGAGTTTGAAATGACCTTCAAATTGACACATGTTTTGCACACTTTCACCAGTAGTAATGAGGATTCAAATAGGGTAAATAAAATGGGCCAAAGAAGCCTGATTAATTTCCCATTATCATTGTGACACCAAATTGTGGTGATGAGTGTGTGCGAAAACGAAAGTGTAGGCAACAACAAAAAGCCACAGGCACAAATAGAAACATTGAAACTGATGGCAATGATGAGCCCATAAACGCGCACACCCAACAAAATTAACTGGCATACGTACTTTTTTACCCTCTTTCGTATGACACCCCTTGAGGAAGTTGCATTGATGAGAATTTATTGAATAAGATTTCTTTTCAAATTAACATAAAAGGAGGTGAATGTAAAGCTGCACATTCGTGCACCAAGTGACAAGTGTGGAACGAGGATGAGTAGGTAAAAGGATATTGGATGTTTCATAAACAGTGACCAATGATGCACCCACTTTAAGTAGATCCAACAAACAAAACACTGGCATTCTAAATGATGGGTTTACAAACAAATTAAGTGTTTACTAAAATTGATTAGTGAGATGTAAAGTGAGCCTAGCAAAGTAGGAGTGAGTAACGAAGGAAACACATGATGAACGAGCCTGGTCACAGTGCGCAGAGCTCTCTCACCAGCGTATTTTAGCTACACCGATAACCGAAAGTGATGTAAAAAACACAAGTCAAGGAACACGTGAGTGACGAAAGTGTCTCAGTGGATTCAAGAGATTAAGTTAGGTGGAAAAGTATAGCATTGTAAATGACAATTGACAACAAAAACAGCCATGTACTTTAAATGCCGACACATCGAATTAATGTATTGCGCGAAAAGACTCACCAAGTCATCTGGCATGATATCCTCCACTGTCTCTTCAACCTCAGCGTTGACTTCACCGAGAAGAATTTTTATCACAGATCGATCGGCTTCAGTCACATCCGCAACAAATGGATCCTTCAAACGGGCAAAACGGAGTCAGGTCTCCCCATAAGACGCCCCACGACAAAAAAGTAGAAGTGAATAAATGGCCCAAACATACGCTTTTGAGATCTTCCATGGAGGGGCGTTGGGCTGGATTCTTCTGCAGGCATCGTTGCAAAAGGCCATTAAGGGAGGAGGACCTAAAAGCAAAAGTGCGGCATCTTGACCAAAGTTAGTACCAAAGAACGGCTGTTGAGCACACAATCTAGAGACTAGAACAAGATTAATCTACCAAACGAGACAACAAACTTGGGAGGGCATGCATTTCGGCTACTA